ATAACATAAATATAACAGATTGATAAGAAGGATGCTCCCATAATGCATAACATAAATATAACAGAACATTATGGGAGCATCCTTCTTATCAACATAACATAAACATGGGATGTTGATAAGAAAGATACATTAGAGTATGTGACATAAATATCAAAGATTGATAAGAAGGATGCTCCCATAATGTATAACATAAATATAACAGATTGATAAGAAGGGTGTACTCAGAATATGTAACACAAATATTGGATGTCGATAAAAGGAGAAAAAATGGAGACGTAAGTCTCACTTCATTTGTTTCATTTCCCTTTTCCATATCAGACAAATATTGGTTTGTTTGTTTTTATATACAAAATATTAAAAGTTAAAAATCGTTCGATTACCTTATAGATTTTACTGAAACACAGAAAATTTTCCAAAGCCCTTAAAATGAAATTCAAAAAGTTTACGGGGCGGTCAAGAACCTGTACGCAACCTGGTAGGAAAATAGCATGGTGTAGAGACATATAAAGTGATGTGGTTTGTTTGTTTGTTGATTGTTTCAGATGTTCGTACCAACCTACACAAGGGCTTATATGTGCTAGCCGTCCATAATTTTAAACGTATAGACTAGATGGACGTCAAGTGCTTAATATCACTCACCACCACAATTGGACTAATCTAATCTAATAGTGGGATTTGTATAACGAGACACGAACCGTGGACCTTCGGATTCACGATCCGACACGCTAACGACGAATGCACACCCAGTCTACCATTTGCTGAATCCGAAACGTTACGAGTTAAAAACCTAATAAATGAACGTGGCCGCTGGAAATTTACCTACCAGAATAAGGGAATTTCGTCAAAACTTCTTCAACAAAGCTAGTACGAATAATAGCAACTTCGGAAAAATCAACATCGTGGTTTTTAAAACAGTCAAAAATAAACAACAACAAAATAAAAAACATTATGAATCAATTTCTTATTCTTAACAACTTGTCACTGTCGGTTTCTTATTAAATTTGAATTTGTTTAATTTTAAAACACGTCACTATATAGCAAATCCATCGTCATAGGTCAAGACATTTTTGTCATGTGACGTGATATATGCATAATTACTAATATTCTGAGACTCGGAAAATGTAAGTCGCTTTCTGTTTAAACATTAGATTCATTTCAGTTGCTGCCCGTCTTCATGCAAGTTTGCAAATATAATCAAACTTTGTCTTATTATCGAAATAATACCTACTCATTAATTACTGACTAGAATATGATTCACTAAAAGTTTTAGTACAAGCTTCGGGCAACAGTTAATTTTACAAACACCATACACTTCACTCTTCTTTTGTTGAACTACTTTAGTATAATTCAACCCCCCCCCCCTCAATAACTTCTAACGTAATTCAATACAGTGGAATAAATTGGTTTGAGTCCAAAAATTATTTCCTATGGGCTCTTTGCGAGTGCGTTCGCACACACACATTAATATATATATAAATATGGCTCAGACTGGTTCTAATCAATAAATGGTCGAATAAGACACAAACACGGATTTAATTAAAACCGAGACTCGTCATACACTATATCACATAGAAGATATATATGCTTTTTTTTCCCCCCCTTACTTTAATGCCAGCACATATAAGGCAAAACCAGTAATTACGAAACGCAGTAGCTAGCGCTGATTACCTATGGAACGTTTGGTGAATTAAGGTTAATTTTCTCCTCAGTAATAGATTGTCAACTAGTCTGTTCTATACACACTATCTCTAATCCGAACACGCCTTCTAGGCACACGCATGCGCACCGCTGCGCTAGTGCGTTCGTACTACATACAATTACTTGCAGATGTAAATAGGTTAAAGTCAACACGTTTGTGTGTGTGTGTTTTTTCAAACACTGTTGTCTTCCGAAGCCATAGCATTTTTATCACAATGTAATCCAAAGTGCGAGCAGACAGCATATGCCACTTCTGGTTCCTACGTGCTTATCTATACTTATTAACATTACGTATAATCACAAAACGTGTATTTGTGTATGTTTCTCCGTCAATGTCATTCATGTTTCTGTGCAATAGATTTTGTTAACGATTTGTCATAACTTCCTTCTGTGCATATATATACACACACACATTACCGTGCCACGCGGTATGGTTATCATGTACTGTTTCACTGCAAGTTTTGATATATTATGTTTAACATACAGCATATTTTTCAAATTGTGTCGTAACAATTGTCAACTAAAGCATATTAGTGTGAATGTTAATGCCACAACATAGCGCCCCCACACGGTCATTTTTCAAGCAAGGCGTTTTAAAACTATCATATATATATATGTGTATATTTGTATAGAAATATAGGCTTGACTTTATAATTCCATACAAATTTGGCTGAATGAGGTTTGTTGTTAACTGTACAACCTCAGCACAAAAGAGAAGGACGGGTTGTAAATGTAGTTTCAAACAGCTGTAGGTAATCTTGAACGTGTTATCGGTCATAAACACAGGAAGCGATGTACTTTCAAGCACTGCTGTGCGTTAACAGAGCATGTATAAAGAAGTTATTACATGACCTGATCTGGAATGTCCCTCCTAGTATTATGGAATTGATTCTTGTTGGGGATATGTAGACGTCAAATTTTAACTGTATGCTACACGGAGAACTTTGTATCCCGAAACTTCGAAGTTGCAGTACGTTGCGGAGGCATGCTAGAAGATTGTCAGATTACTGGGATGCAACAATACCTAATTATCAGCGTAAGAAAGATGTCTATGATAGGTGTTTGGTCCGTAGGATCGTGACATCAAAATCCCACTCTCTATGGATCTTCTATGACATAACCCCCAGCTTTCACCCAACTTATGATTGGGGGTGAAGAAATTCAGATACTGCGTTCCTGTTGCATTTGTTTCATGGTACATAAGCTTCCACCCTCACCAGGACACACCTCTTACTCCATTCAACAACAACACACACCAGTACTTGATGCAGCTGATCGGTACTGGGGTTCTTCTGACGAGAGTGGTGCACGTGACTGTGTGACAGTATTGCAAATCACACGAACTGCGGTTTCGATTAAATAAATACAATGTAATTCACAGGCAATACATTCATACTTTGTCTGCTCGTTCTGTCATACGGCCGACGTAATGAAATATGGCAACATAAATACTTCAATCTATCACTATAAGGGAATTACGACATGTTAAAGGTATAACATCCTACACGTGATCCGTC